CTTCCTTCCTTCCTTCCTTCCTTCCTTCCTTCTCCAGGCCTGACCCCTTATCATCCTCTTATGACTGCTGACAGATGTCCCCCTCTGCCTATAAACACACCACAAAACAGATGCCCTGAGTGAAAAGCAAGACCTCTGCCTGTCCAGCTTCCCCTCAGATCTTTTTTTAAATATTTTTTATATATATAATTTTTTTACAGAGAGGAAGGGAGTGAGATAGAGAGCTAGAAATGTCGATGAGAGAGAAACATCGATCAGCCGCCTCCTGCACACCCTCTACTGGGGGTGTGTCTGCAACCAAGGTACATGCCCCCTTACCGGAATCGAACCTGGGACCCTTCAGTTTGCAGGCCGAGGCTCTATCCACTGAGCCAAACCGGTTTTGGCCCCTCAGATCTTTTTTTAAAATGTTTTTATTTTTTATTTTTTATTGATTTTGGAGAGGAAGAGAGAGGGAGACTTAGAAACATCAATGATGAGAGTGAATCATTGATTGGGTGACTCCTGCACACCCCCCACCAGGGAGCAAGCCCACGACCCAGGCATGGGACCCCGACCAGAACCGAACCTGGGGCCCCCCAGTCCGCACACTGACACTCTATCCACTGAGCTAAACCAGCTAGGGATCCCCTCAGATCTTAAATATCCTTGAGGAGCCAGCTTGATGGGTGTTCCTCCCCGATGCTCACTGGGTCTCCCGCATCAGAGGTGAAATTTCTCTCTGCCAGATGCTGCCTGTGTCATCTAAACCCTCTTGGGGACGCTTCTCTCTGTGACTGCTTTGGGGTGATGGCAGAGATGTGTGTCTTGCTCCCGAAGGATAGGGACTGAGTCACCGGCATTTTTGTGCCTCCATAGGGAACTTGCACATGACCTAGACTCAAAAATCATTCATTGGAATTTGGTCACAGTGTGCAAGGGAGGAACTTTCCAGTTCTGCTGACCAAACTGGAGGATCTAAGCACCTTTTTTTCTTTTTCTTTTTCTTCTTTTTTAAACATTTCTTTATTGATTTCAGAGAGGAAGGGAGAGGAATAGAGAGATAGAAACATCAATGATGAGAGAGAATCATTGATCAGCTGCCTCCTGCACCTGATATCTGGATCCCCCTATTGGGGATCGAGCCCACAACCCGAGCATGTGCCCTTGGCCGGAACTGAACCTGGGACCCTTCAGTCCACAGGCCGATGCTCTATCCATTGAGCCAAACCAGTTAGAGCTAAGCACCTTTTCTTGGTATTCCAAAAAAGTCTATAATAAATAGCGGCCCTGGCTTTCCTATTTTTTCCCCTTCTTAAAAGAGCAATGAACCCTAGCCAATTTGGCTCAGTGGACAGAGCCTTGGCCAGTGGAATGAAGGGCACATACCTCAGCTGCAGACTCCTCCCCGGGCCGGCCCTGGTCTGGGTGCTGCAGGAGGCAACCAATCGATGTATTTCTCTCACATCAATATTTCTTTCTGTCTTCTCCTCTCTCTTCCACTTTCCCTAAAACTCAATGGAAAAATATCCTCAGATGAGGTTTAAAAAAAAAAGCAATGATCTATGAGTCTGGCATATGGGTATGAACTAGAACCTACTACTTCCCAGCTGTGTGACTTTGAGCAAGTGTCCAGACCTCTCTGAGTTGATGGAGCTGGTAGCAGCTGCCTCGCAGGCACTAAGGAAAGCTGGCTTGGAACTGGAGCCCTGGGAGGCAGGCAGTGAGAGGCAGTTTTTTTAAAAAATATATATTTTATTGATTTTTTACAGAGAGGAACAGAGAGCCAGAAATATCGATGAGAGAGAAACATCAACCAGCTGCCTCCTGCACAGGGGCCTCCCACCGGGGATGTGTCTGCAACCAATGTACATGTCCGCAACCAATGTACATGCCCCTGACCGGAATCGAACCTGGGACCTTTCAGTCTGCAGACCGATGCTCTATCCACTAAGCCAAACCGGTTTCGGTAGTGAGAGGCAGTTTAACCTGAAGATCTGACCTCTATTGCCCCAGGCTGCTGCTGTGCTTTCAAGGGACACACGTACCCCAACTCCGATCCTTCTGCAGGCAAAGGGCAGACTCTGGCACACACTGAGGCTTCAGTACTGCCTCCTACCAGGCCCCTGACACCCTCACTGGTCCACCATGTAGACCAGTAGTTCCCAACGGGGGACACACGCCCACAGAGAGGGCAATTTTATGCTGAAAGGGGGCAATTCGAGAATGAATTATTAACCGTGAGTCTTTTGCATGGTTTATGGTCCTAGGGTAAGGTGACCAGATGTCCCGATTTTTACCAATATGTCCCACGTCCCGCGGCATTTTAAAAAAAATCCCAATTTCTGGAAAGATTCTTTAACAATTCCAAATTGTTAAAAATCGGGACTATGCCGCCAAAAGCGAGACGTCTGGTCACCTTATCCTAGAGGCCTCATGTAAATATATATTGTGGCACATTGACGCATTTCTGTTCTCTGTGATACGTTTTGAAACTTTATGTGCTATTTTCCCACATCACTTCCTGTTATTATTTTCTTTTTAGCAATTTCGTAGTGATTTCTTCCTCATTATTTCCATTGTCCTTTCGTTCTTTTATCTTTCTCTCCCATGGATGCCATGTTCGTTGGAAGCTTGTTTAGACCAAGTTCATCGCCTTGGAGGCTTCCTCCGTGTGAATAGAAGCTCACCTTTTTAATAAGAAGAATGATAAGTCACAGGACAGGGGCTATCAGGATGTTAGAGATGCTTAGGTGGGGCGTGGCCAGAGAGGTTGGGAACCACTGAGCTAGAGGAGCAGATGAGTCCCTGGGGTGGGCAGCAATGTTTTTGTTTGTTTGTTTGTTTTTTAAATATATATTTCATTGATTTTTTACAGAGAGGAAGGGAGAGGGATAGAGAGTTAGAAACATCGATGAGAGTCATCAATCAGCTGTCTCTTGCACGTCCCCTACTGGGGATGTGCCCACAACCAAGGTCCATGCCCTTGACCGGAATCGAACCTGGGACCCTTCTGTCTGCAGGCCAACACTCTATCCACTGAGACACACCGGTTTCGGCGGGCAGCAATGTTTTATGGCCACTTCAGAAGAGGCAGTGTGGCACACATAGCTGAATCAGAATATCTGGGTCCCAAGGATCCTCGGGGTGGGGGTGGGGGGGTGCATTCTCCCGGTTTACAGGTGTAAATGCCCAGGTGCTGCATGGTAACACCAGGACGGCATGAGAGCCACCTTCCAGAGGCTTCCACAGTATCTTCTTGTGTGCTTTTATTTTTATTTTTTAATTTTTATTGATTTCAGAGAGAGGAAGGGAGTGGGAAAGATAGAAACATTCAATGATGAGAGATAATCATGGATTATCCCCTACTGGGGGGGGGGTGAGCCCACAACTCGGACACGTGCCTTTGACAGATCCAACCTGGGGCCCTTCAGTCCGCAGGCCTACGCTCTAGCCACTGAGCCAACCGGCCAGGGCTCTGCTTGTGTTTTGAGCAATAGAATTGGGAACAGAGCGAACGGGTCATTCTGGGACATGCTGGCCCAAGAACAGGCATTTGACCGACGCCTCGGACTTTGGGGGGGGCCCCAAAGCAGCCTATCTTGGGGGCTCGCTCAGTCTGTGGACCTCAGGGCCAGAGGGTCATTAGCTCTGCCTGGCTGGGGCCGGGAGAAGGAAGTGGTGAAGTTAGAAATTCAAGGTCGCTCTCCTGGCCCGGCTCCATCTGGCAGTGTCACTGGGAAGCAAGCAGGGAACACAGAGCAGAAAGAGGCTGAGTGCATTTGGAGTGAGTTGTGACTGGAAAGGGAGGGTGGGGGAAGAGTTTTGAGGGTTAGATTATTTTTTTTTCTCTACATAAAACCCCAAGTCCTGTTGGTGTCTCAGTTCAAGAAAATGGGTGAGCCGGAACCGGTGTGGCTCAGTGGGTAGAGCGCCGGCCTGCGGACTGAAGGGTCCCGGGTTCGATTCCGGTCCCGGGCATGGACCTTGGTTGCGGACAACAACCCCGGTGGGGGGTGTGCAGGAGGCAGCTGATCGATGTTTCTGGCTCTCTATTCCTCTCCCTTTCTCTCTGTAAAAAAAAAAAAAAAAAAAAAAAAAAAAAAAAATTAATAAAATATATTAATTTAAAAAAAGGGTATAAAGAGAGAAGAGGGGAGGAGTGAAGGGGTGCAGGAGAGGGAAGGGGAGGGAAAGGAGAGGGGCGGGCAGTCAAAAGAGGGTGAGGAACCTTGTTTTTGTTTTTTTCTTTGACAGAACCAACCCGTATGTGCTTTTTTTTTTTTTTTTTTTTTTTTTTTTTCTATAAAAACAGGCAAAAATGGGGCCGTTTACCTGGGTGCACTCGAGTTTACTCAGCGCGGGCCGCGTGCGGGGCGCCCCCCGGGGAGCGGCGGGGTGCCCTTGAGGACAGGCCTGCGGCCTCGAGGACTCCCCTGGGGACCGGCAGCTGGACCGTCGGCTGAGACGCAGGTGGGGTGCTCCGGTCCGTCCGCACCGCCCGTGTTGGGGGGACCAGGAGCCGAGCGCGACCCCGAGGGTCAGGCCGGAGGTGCCCACGTCCCGCGCGCGCGCCCGGTGAGCGCGCCTCAGCGCACCGAGCGCGAAGGACGCAGGTGTTACCTCAGATTTGCCTTTTTTTGGGGGGGCTTAAGCTGCCCCGGCAGTGGACACCCCGATTTCAAGCCAGGAGACCCGGAGAGAGGGGCGCCCCCTCAGCGCCGACCCCCGCGCGCGCGCGCCGGTGCCCGGAGCGGCCTCTCCCGCCTCTGGCGCGGGTCCAACTGGGCTTCCCGCGACGCCGGTGCAGCGCCCCCCTGCGTAAGGGGGCGTGTCCCTCCGTCCAGTCCCGCCCCCTTCCAGGCGCCGACCAATGGGACGGCGCCTCCGGCAGCCCCGCCCCCGCCGTGCCCGCGCGCGGGGAGCCCAGGTCGGGGCAGCCCGCCGCTAGGCAGCGGAGCAGCGCAGCGGCCGGCGCTCGGATCTCCTCCGCCTGCGGGGTTGGTTTTCCTCTGCTCGGCATGGCTGGCTACCTGCGGGTCGTGCGATCGCTCGGCAGGGCGTCGGGCTCCGGGTCGGCATGGGCGCCGGCAGCCCTGACGGGCCCCAACAACTTGCAGGAGCAGCCGCGGCGTCACTGTGAGTTGCCAGAGGGCGTCGAGTCGAGTCGGGTCGGGTCGGGGCGGGCGCGCTCCGGGCTCCGCGACGTGGCGGCCTCCGGGCGGGGGCCTGGGGAGCGCGATAGGGCCGCTCGCAGGCCGGGGATCGGGGGTTTGGGCACACAAAGAGCGAGGCGCGGCGGGGCGGGAGGGGGGTGGGGCGGCCTCGCTTCCGGGCGCCCCCTGCCCCGAGTTCCCAGGCCGCACCAGGCGCAGCGGTGGCGACTTGAAGGACGGTGGCAACTGGTGGCCCGAGCGATGCCAGCCCTGCGGCCCTGCGCGCCGGGGTTTGGGGGGTGGGGGGTGGGGGGAGAGCTCGGGGCTGCCTCGTGCACCCGATATAACTATATATAGAGGTGCTGGGCGGGGGGGGGGGTGGATCCCGGACCAGGAGGAGATCTCCCCGCGCTGGCTGGAGATGAGCAACTGAATGGGGGGGGCTGGTGCACCCCGCGAGCTGCTTCTGCTCAGACAAAGGCGGGAGAGGGAGGAGGCATGCACTTCCCGTTCCTTTCCAGCCAAGCGGCGCTGTCACCCCTCCTGCTGCCAGGCCCTCGTCAGCTATTTTTGGAGCCTTTTTTATGCGACAGCTGGAGAAGCGTGCTTTTTTTTTTTTTTTTTTCATTTCTCCCTTTGTTTGGACTCCCTCCCTTTCTCCTTGTCGCTGCACTTGAGGCTCCATCCCAGGCCCTGTCCTTGCTGCCTTTTCTTGCGGACTGGCCCTGCCTGGCTCATGCACGCCATGCGGAGACTTTGTTCACAGCTAATGTGGTACCCTTAGCTCCCGGATGGGAAGCTGGACGTAGCCCAAACCTCCATGATCCACGTAGGCTGCCCCTGCTGGTATGTGGGCACTGCCTGCCTGCAACCCTGGCTCTCTCTCCATCGCCCGCTACACAAAGGGCAGGGAACAATGTAGGGTCCCTTGGCCCTGTCTGATGCCTGTGGTCACGGAATCCCCTCTCCTCCTCTGGGCTGGGAGCCCCTTGGGGTGAGCCGGGAGAGTGAGGAAGAGGGGGTGGGGCCCAGGCAGCCTGGCTGCACTGCCAGGGTAGGTAATCTTTAACCCAGTGTGAGAGCAGCTGGCTAAGGTTGGGGCCCCAGCACCCCCCCACACACACTTGCCAAGGAGAAAAGGGGCATTTCTGCTTTTGAACATCTAGGATTTGTTTATAAAGGGCCAGCCCCCCAATTCCATGGTACCCCCAAACCAAGTTTCCCATAGGCACTACCTTCAGCAAAAGATGGTGCAAGTTATATACCGACCCTAATTCTCCTTTTTATTCTGCATTGATGACAATATATATATATATATATATATATATATATATATATATATATATATATATTTTTTTTTTTTTTTTTTTTACTTTTTAAAAAGAAAGAAAGGAAATGGAAAAGCCTGGCCAGTGTGGCTCAGTTGGTTGGGCATCATTTGGTCACCGAAAGGTTTGGGTTCGATTCCCCATCAGGCAGGGGTTTCAGGCTCCATTGCCAGGAGGGGGCGTGCAGGAGGCAGCCAGTGGATGTTTCACTCTCGCATCGATGTTTCTCTCTCCCTTCCTCTCTTTCTAAAAAAATCAATATGTGCCGTAACCGGTTTGGCTCATGGATAGAGTGTCAGCCTGTGGACTCGAGGGTCCCAGGTTTGATTCCGGGCAAGGCCATGTACCTTGGTTGCCGGCACATCCCCAGTGGGGGTGGGGGGTGTGCAAGAGACGGCTGATCAATGCTTCTCTCTCATCGATGTTTCTGACTCTATTTCTCTCCCTTCCTCTCTGTAAAAAAAAAAAAAAATCAATAAAATATATTAAAAATCATTTTTAAAAAATCAATACAATACATATTTTTAAAAAAGAACCCCACCCCCTCCACACACAAACAAGCAAACAAAGCGCCTCAGTGGCCTGAATTCTGGTAACACATCAAAAAAGCAGGTCCTTCCGGAAATCAGTTCTTCATGGAAGAATGCCTGGTATTTGAATTGGACGTGAGCATATACGATTCTGACCTCCGCTAGCTCGGTACCTGGCAACGCTGGCAGAGACAGCATAGTTGGCATTCCCTCGATGACACAGAAAGAGTATTTTTGGGCTAAAACACCCTGAGTCTTTGCTGCCTGATGCAGGAAAGGGGGTGGGGCTCAGGCAGCCTGGCGCTACCGCTGGCAGATTCCTGCACGTGTCTCTTTCTGGTTTGGCAACTCACAGGCCTTCAGCTCCTGTGGCTCATATTAAAAAAATAAATAAATAAATTAGGTTATAAGATCTTTTTTCTTTTAAAATATCTTTTATTCTAATGTTTTTACAGAGAGGAAAGGAGAGGGACAGAGATTTAGAAACATCCATGAGAGAGAAACATCGATCAGCTGCCTCCTGCACACCCCCCACTGGGGATGTGCCCGCAACCAAGGCACATGCCCTTGACCGGAATCGAACCCGGGACCCTTCAGTCCTCAGGTTGATGCTCTATCCACTGAGCCAGAGCAGTTAGGGCCAGGGAGCTTCACTTCTAACGTGGAGACAGGTAGTAAACAAGATAGACACCGACTACTGTGACATGCTACCAGGAGAACAAGTACGCAAGGAAGGTGTGTGTGTGAGAAAGTTTGGGTAGCAGAAAGGGCGCATTTCGTTATCTGAGGAAGAGGGGACTGAAAGGTCCCGGGTTCGATTCCGGTCAAGGGCATGTACCTTGGTTGCGCGCATATCCCCAGTGGGGGGTGTGCAAGAGGCAGCTGATCGATGACTCTCTCTCATGGATGTTTCTAACTCTATCTCTCTCCCTTCCTCTCTGTACAAAATCAATAAAAAATATATTTAAAAAAAGAAAGAAAGAAAAAAAAAGTTTACGTTTAAAAAATGTGGCTCTCCGAAGAAATGTCCATCATTGTGCTGTGGCTATTTGGCTCTGTGGACTCGTGAGTTTGCCGACCCCTGTTCTATACCATTGCCTGTGGGAGAAGCAGCGAGGAAAGCGACTGTGCACGAGGGTGGCTCAGAGTCCATGATGGCGAGCGACAGAAGGGCCAGGTGATGGGGCTAGTAGGGGCTTGCTGGCCATGTTGGAGGACCCTGGCCTTTACTCTGACTTAAAGGAGAGGCTTTGCAGGGTTTTGAGAGGAGTGTCATGACCTGCTTTGCTTTAAAAAAAAAAAAAAAAAAAAAAAAAATCGCCAAGACCGGTTTGGCTCAATGGATAGAGCGTCGGCTTGGGGACTGAAGGGTCCCGGGTTCGATTCCGGTCAAGGGCATATACCTTGGTTGCGGGCACATCCCCAGTAGGGGGTGTGCAAGAGGCAGCTGATCGATGACTCTCATCGATGTTTCTAACTCTCTATCTCTCTCCCTTCCTCTCTGTACAAAATCAATAAAATATATTTTAAAAAATAAATTTAAAAAAATCAAATTGATTTCAGAAAGGAAGGGAGAGGGTGAGAGACAGAAACATCAATGATGCGAGAGAATCATCGATGGGCTCCCTCCTAGATGCCCCCTCCTGGGGATGGAGCCCACAACCCGGGCATGGGCCCTTGACTGGAATCGAACCTGGGGACACTCCGGTCTGCAGGCCGACGCTCTAGCCACTGAGCCACCCCGGCCAGGGGTCCTGCTTTGCATTTTAGCACTCAGGGAGCTGGTAGGAGGTACAACCTGGCAAGAGAGGGTGGCGGCTGGGAGCTGAGCGGAGGCTCTGGGGGAGGTGAGACGTAGTTGGATTCTGGGTGTATTTTGAAGGAAGGAGCCCCTAGGGCCTTTTGATGGTTGGACTGCGGGTGTGAGAGAAAGGGAGGAAAATACTAGAATGTCTTCCAAAATTGCTCCGGGAACTGGGGCTCCTTGTTCTGCTGGCCAGGCTGGCCGAGCACGGGTAGTAGAAGCAGTTATCTTGGGGGTGGCTGTCATTCCGGGTACCTTGAGCCCTGAGCTGGCAGCAGCAGGCAGACCTTGAAAACTGGGGGTGGGTTTGGAATCCTTACTTGGGCCCGACGGCTGTGGGTCAGCAGTTGAGCGTCAACCATGAACCAAGAGGTCGCAGGTTCAATTCTTGGTCAGGGGCACAAGCCTGCGTTACAACTCAATCCCCAGTAGAGGGCGTCCGGGAGGCAGCCGATCCATGATTCTCATCGTTGATGTTTCTCTCTCCCCCTCTCTCTTCCTCTCTGACATCAATAAAAATAGCTGAAACCGGTTTGGCTCAGTGAATAGAGCGTCAGCCTGCGGACTGAAAGGTCCCGGGTTCGATTCTGGTCAAGGGCATGTACCTGGGTCGCGGACACATCCCCAGTAGGGGGTGTGCAAGAGGCAGCTGATCGATGATTCTCTCTCATCGATGTTTCTAACTCTCTATCCCTCTCCTTTCCTCTCTGTAAAAAAAAAAAAAAAAAAAAATCAATAAAATATATTTTAAAAAATAGACTAAAAATAAATCCTTGCTTGGTGTTCTATATACACTGACTGGCCAGATAATTATGATCTCTGAACGCATAATAATCTGGCCACTCTGTTTATATATGTATATATGTATATGTATATGTATATGTATAGTGTGTATATATGTATATATATTTATTTATATTTATATTTGAGGCCTGGTGCATGAATCCATGCATGGGTGGGGTCCAGCCAGCCTGGCCAGAGGGAGGGGACATGGGTGGTCAGCCGACCTGCCTGCTGGTCGAACTCCTAGTCCAGGGGACAATTTGCATATTAGCCTTTTATTCTCTAGGATATTCACTGAGTGGCCAGATGATTATGCGTTCAGAGATCATCATCATCTGGCCACTCAGTGTATATATAGATTGTACAAATGCATAACAAAAATTTCCATGTTACCCATTCTTTAAGTCTGCAGTTCAATCGTGTTCAGTCATGTTCGTTTATGGTACAACCAATATCCAAAGCTTTTTCATCTTGTAAAACTAAAACTTTCTACCCGTTAAACAGTAACTCCCCATTCCTCTCATCCCAGCCCCTGGGAACCAGCATTCTACTTTCTGTTTCTGTGACTGATTTCTTTAGGCGCCTCCTGTGAGGTGAATCTGGCTTTCTGTGGCTAGCTTGTTTCACTTAGCGCCATGTCCTCAAGGTTCACCTGTGTGTTGTGGTGCATGTGACAGGATCATCTTCCTTTTCAAGGCTGAATAGTATTCTATTGCACGTATGTTCCACCTTAAAAATATCATGTTGAGCCGAAGCCAGTTTGGCTCAGTGGATAGAGCGTTGGCCTGCAGACGGAAGGGTCCCAGGTTCGATTCCGGTCAAGGGCATGTACATTGGTTGCGGGCACATATCCAGTAGGGGGTATGCAGGGGGCAGCTGATCAATGTTTCTCTCTCATCGATGTTTCTAGCTCTCGATCCCTCTCCCTTCCTCTCTGTAAAAAAATCAATAAAAATGTATTATTAAAAAATATATCATGTTGAAGCTTATTGACCTTCTGAGTAAGGTACAGGCATTGTAAAAAGCTGAGTTATTAAATCCTTATATATTTAATACTGAGTAAGGTACAGGCATTGTAAAAAGCTTAGTTATCAAATCCTTACATATTTAATACTACTTCTAATTTATCACAGGTGTTGCTTCTCAAAAATGTTAAACACAACTGGATTGAAAGAGTGTTTGGGAAATGTGGCAACGTTTTGGTGTTTTGTTTTGTGTTTTTTTTTTAAGAGAGGAACATCGATTTGTTGTTCCACTTATTGACGCATTCATTGGTAGATTCTTGTATGTGATTCTTGTATGACTGAGGGTTGAATCCAAAATCTGGTTGACACTTTAACTGAGTACCTGGTTGACACTTTAACTAACTGGAGTATCTGGTTGACACTTTTAACTAACTGAACTACCTGGCCAGGGCTGCAATATTGTCATATAAGTCATACCACATGGTAAGAGCTACAAAGTGAACTTGCCTTTGTGCAATTTGTAACAAAAGAACAAATAGCCAAAGCGGTTGGGGTGGGTCCCGGGTCACTAACCCTATTTAGTGTGAAAGCAGGTGCATCCATGGTGAAGGGGTAAGGAGCTCCATCTGAAAAACTTGAGAATATGAACAATTGTTCAGCCTCGAGAAGTAAAGAAGTTTTTCTCAACTCTCCTGGATTAGCTTCCGAGTCTTGTTCTCCTTTATTTATTTCTTTTTAAAATGTTTTTATTGACTTTAGAGAGGAAGGGAGAGGGAGAGAGAGAAACATCAATGAGTGAGAATCAGTAGTAATCGGCTGCCTCCTGCACGCCCCCTACTGGGCATGTGCCCTGACCGGGAATCCAATGAACTGTGACCTCCTGGTTCATAGGTCGACAGTCAACCACTGAGCCACACCAGCCGGGCCTGTTCTCCTGAAGGTCCATGCCACCTTTGGTTTGTTCATTCTTCCGTCGCTCCCCACTCTTGACTATTGTGCGTAATGCTGCTACGCGTATGGGTGTGCAAGACCCTGCTTTCGATTCTTCCAGCTATCTATCCAGAAATAGGACTGGTGGGCCACATGGGGATTCTAGTTTTTTGTTTATTTTTGTTTGTTTTTTAAATATATTTCTTTATTGATTTCAGAGAGGAGGGGAGAGGGAGAGAGAGCTAGAAACATCATGATGACAGGGAATCATGGATCGGCTGCCTCCTGCACGCCCCCTACTGGGGATCGAGCCTGCAACCCCGGGCATGTGCCCTTGACCGGAATCGAACCCGGGGACCCTTCAGTCCTCAGGCCGACGCTCTATTCACTGAGCCACACCAGCTGAGGACTGAGCCATTTTCTTGCATTTTCCTTGCAATGCCCTTCCCAGTCTGTTGGTTTTTTTCTCCAGTCTGAGTTTCCTTGAAAAGCTTCCCTGGCTCCGGTTTCCCCTCCTCCCTCCCCCTCGTCCCGTCTGGTGATGCTTCTCTGACGGACGGGACTGGCCGACCTGAGCCGCTTGGCCTGTTCTGACTTGCCTTCCCAGGTGCCCTCACTCCTGCAAGGTGTGAATCCTCCTGTTTCCAAACCGGAAGCCGGGAGCCTCAGTCCCCCCTCCCCCACTTTTAAAGTTGGAGGTGATGATACCCCCCGGGGAGGAGGGAGTGGGATCATGTCAGCGGTGGGGGGGACACGGTCTGGCCGGGGAGGAGGTGTTAATACAATCCCTCCTCGTTGCAAGCTGGTCAGGTTCTCGGGTTGCAAGCAACAGGCCGAGTGAGTGACAGGCCGAGTGTGAGAGCGTGTTATTAGAAGGACGCAGGGAAGGAAGCCCTAGCCGGTGTGGCTCAGTGGATAGAATATCGGGACTGCGGACCAAAGGGTCCCAGGTTCGATTCCGGTCAAGGGCATGTACCTTGGTTGCAGGCACATCCCCAGGTGGGGGTGTGTGCAGGAGGCAGCTGATAGATGTTTCTCTCTCATCAATGTTTCTAACTCTCTCTCCCTCTCCCTTCCTCTCTGTAAAAAAATCAATAAAAATATATATATTTAAAAAGGACACAGGGTAGCTTGTAGAACTGCATGGATTATACTAGAGGGGATCCTGGTCGCCCTGGGCAACCAGGTGGCAGCAACCCCCGGACAGCCTCTCCCGACGGGCTGCTGGACAGGGCGGCCCCGGCCGGCTCGGCGTCTCTGCGTCTCTGCCTTCAGATCCCCGGAGAGGAGACCTCACGGCCAGGCTGGCCGTGCTCAGTGGCGGGTTCAGGTCCCTGAGCTGCCCGAGAGCTGTTCCTGGGTGTGATCGCCGGGCAGCTGGGCCTGGCTGACCACTGCTCTCCCCTTGGGGACGGGGACTCCCTCCCCTCCTCCGCAGGGGCCTCATGCAGTGTCTGTGCCCTGCCCTAGATGCCGACAAGAGGATCAAGGTGGCCAAGCCGGTGGTGGAGATGGACGGCGACGAGATGACCCGTATCATCTGGCAGTTCATCAAGGACAAGGTGGCATCTCCCAGGGTGGCTGGCGGCTCTTCCCCAGCGGGCCGGGCTCAGCGCTCCGCCCCAGCACAGGCCCCCCCCACCTCGCTTCAGGCCTCCCCACCATCACCAGGTGCCCCTGTCCCCCGGTGGGTGGCCACAGTCCTGTGTCCCTCCTCCTGCCCATCCTTCCGCTGTGTCCAGACCCCTCGTGCGTCTGGCAGCGGCCTGGGCCTCCCGCTGGCGCCAAAGCCGTCGTGTCTCAATCTGTGTGCAGATTTGGGGCTGCCCCTATATCCTGTCCACCTCACCCCCTCTGTCCCGATGAGCTGCCTCCAGGGTTGAAGGAGCGCACGGCTGGTGTGGGTGCCGCTGTGCCTAGAGTCACCTTTTATTTTTTATTTTTGTTATTATTTTTAAAATATATTTCTTGCTGAAACCGGTTTGGCTCAGTGGTAGAGCGTCAGCCTGCGGACTGAAAGGTCCCAGGTTCGATTCTGGTCAAGGGCATGTACCTTGGTTGCGGGCACATCCCCAGTGAGGGGTGTGCAGGAGGCAGTTGATCGATGTTTCTCTCTCATTGATGTTTCTAGCTCTCTGTCCCTCTCCCTTCCTCTCTGTAAAAAAAAAAAAAAATCAATAAAATATTAAATAAAATAAAAAAAGAAACATCCATGATGAAAGAGAATCATTGATCGGCTGCCTCCTGCACACCCCCTACTGGGGATGGAGCCCGCAACCTGGGCATGTGCCCTTGAACTGTGACCTCCAGGTTCATAGGTCAATGCTCAACTACTGAGCCACACCGGCCGGGCCCCACCCCTGGTTTATTTTATTTTATTTTTTTTAATATATTTTATTGATTTTACACAGAGAGGAATTGAGAGGGACAGAGAGTTAGAAACGTCGATGAGAGAGAAACATCGACCAGCTGCCTCTTGCACACCCCCTACTGGGGATGTGCCCGCAACCAAGGTACATGCCTTTGACCGGAATCGAACCCGGGACCTTTCAGTCCGCAGGCCGACGCTCTATCCACTGAGCCAAACCGGTCCCGGCCCCACCCCTGGTTTAGAGAATAGCGCTGCCCTTGGAGTTTGGGGTTCGGCTGAGTGCAGGGGCCTATGGTCCATGCTAGGGGATGAGCCCCCTGAGGCCCCGCCTCCAGTCCAGGCCCAGGCTCCGCCCAGGGATGGCTGACTCTCCCCTCCCTCTGCTGGCCTGCCCTCGTCCCTGCCCTGACAGAGTGTCCCCCGCCGCCCGCCTGCACATGCCCCCGAGCCATAGTCTCCGGGCTGACGCCCTATCCTGGCCTCTCTCTCTAGCTCATCCTGCCCCACGTGGACGTCCAGCTCAAGTATTTCGACCTGGGGCTCCCCAACCGTGACAAGACCGACGACCAGGTCACCATCGACTCGGCGTTGGCCACCCAGAAGTACAGCGTGGCTGTCAAGTGCGCCACCATCACTCCCGATGAGGCCCGGGTGGAAGGTATGGGGGCATGCGGGGTCACCCCAGTCTCCCTGGGGATTCCTGGGGGACAGGGTCCCTGTAGATGGGGCCGGGGAGGGGCAGTGAAGGGGCTGGCTTCGGTTTTCATCAACAGTAGCAAAATTACAGCCTAAACCAATTTGGCTCAGTGGATAGAGCGTCGGTCTGCGGACTGAAAGGTCCCGGGTTCGATTCCGGTCAAGGGCATGTGCCTTGGTTGCGGGCACATCCCCGGTGGGGGGTGTCCAAGAGGCAGCTGGTCGATGTTTCTCTCTTATCGACATTTCTAGCTCTCTATCCCTCTCTCCTCCTGTAAAAAATCAATAAAATATATTAAAGAAAAAAAACAGTAGCAAAATTACAGTTATGAAGTAGCAACGAAAATAATTTTATGGTTGTGTGGGGGGGCGGTCAAGGGTCGCGGCATCAGAAAGGCTGAGAACCACGCCTCTAGACTCTCCCTCGCAATCATCTGTAGGCCGCTCCCCTGGCTGCCCTCTTGCTCGGGTTCCAGATTCCGGCTGGAAAGTGGGGGGGCGACGGTGGGGCCACTTCCTCTCTGCTCCCCTAGAGTTCAAGCTGAAGAAGATGTGGAAGAGCCCCAACGGAACCATCCGGAACATCCTCGGGGGCACCGTCTTCCGGGAGCCCATCATCTGCAAGAACATCCCCCGCCTCGTCCCCGGCTGGACCATGCCCATCACCATCGGCAGGCACGCCCACGGCGACCAGGTGGGCCGAGGCGGGAGTTGGGGCTCTGCTGGCCTGGATACCCCCCCTTCTCCCCCCCTGAACCCCCCCAATCTGGAGCCACAGCCTGAGCCACCCTCTCGCCTCTGCAGTACAAGGCCACGGACTTCGTGGCTGACCGGGCCGGCACCTTCAAGATGGTGTTCACGCCGAAGGATGGCAGCAGTGCCAAGGAGTGGGAGGTGTTCAACTTCCCCGCTGGCGGCGTGGGCATGGGCATGTACAACACGGACGAGGTGAGGTGGGCACAGAGCCTGAGCTTCTCTCTCCCCCAGCCTGGCTTCTCCGCTCCGGGCTCATCTCTGGAACCAGCTCCATTGGTTCCCGCCAAAGTCCTAGCCCGAGTCACATGACCACCACCTCTGAGCCAATCACTGAGCCCCCCCCCCCCCCAGAGAGGAGGCACTCTGATTGGATAAGCCAGACACACCCAGCGTCTCCCCAGGGGCTCATCTCTGCCAGCTCCACTGGTTCCCGCCAAAGTCCTAGCCCGAGTCACATGACCACCACCTCTGAGCCAATCACTGAGGCCCCCCGGAGAGAGGAGGAGTTCTGATTGGATAAGCCAGACACACCCAGCGTCTCCCCAGGGGCTCATCTCTGCCAGCTCCACTGGTTCCCGCCAAAGTCCTAGCCCGAGTCACATGACCACCACCTCTGAGCCAATCACTGAGGCCCCCCGGAGAGAGGAGGAGTTCTGATTGGATAAGCCAGACACACCCAGCGTCTCCCCAGGGGCTCATCTCTGCCAGCTCCACCAGTTCCCGCCAAAGTGCTAGCCCGAATCACGTGACTACCTCTGAGCCAATCACTGAGGCCCCCCGGAGAGAGGAGGAGTTCTGATTGGATAAGCCAGACACACCCAGCGTCTCCCCAGAGGCTCATCTCTGCCAGCTCCACCGGTTCCCGCCAAAGTGCTAGCCCGAGTCACATGACCTCTGAGCCAATCATAGAGGCCCCCAAGAGAGAGGAGGCACTCTGATTGGATAAGCCAGACACACCCAGAGTCTCCCCTAGCCTGGCTTCTCCGCTCCAGGCTTCTCTCTGCCAGTTCCACTGGTTCCCGCCAAAAGTGCTAGCCCGAATCACGTGACCACCTCTGAGCCAATCACAGAGGCCCCCAAGAGAGAGGAGGCGCTCTGATTGGATAAGCCAGACACACCCAGAGTGGAGAGACAGGTCCCATCCCAGCCATAGGGTCTACGAATGGCAGAGCGGGAGGTAGCTTTTCCAACACAAAGCTGGGGGGACTGAATCCTCCCAGAAGGGGGAGGAAGCAGAAACAACAGATGCGCCCAGCTGGTGTGGCTCAGTGGTTGAGCCTCAACCCATGAACCAGGAGGTCACGGTTCAATTCCCGGACAGGGCACATACCCGGGTTGTAGGCTCAATCCCCAGGAGGGGGCATGCAAGAGGCATCGGATCATTAATTCTCTCCCGTCATTGATGTTTCCATCTCTCCCTCCCTCTTCCTTCCTTTCTGAAATCAATTTAAAAAAATTTTTAAAAAGCAACAACAAATGCTCGCTGAAGGTGGCTGCATGAACCCAGATTCCAAGAGAGGGTTGCATGGAGGGAAGGGGTGCCATCCCGGGTGGGGCCTGGCCCTGGGGGGTAGGGACCGTGCCTGACACCCGTCTTCCTCCCCGCAGTCCATCTCGGGGTTCGCGCACAGCTGCTTCCAGTACGCCATCCAGAAGAAGTGGCCGCTGTACATGAGCACGAAGAACACCATCCTGAAGGCCTACGACGGACGCTTCAAGGACATCTTCCAGGAAATCTATGAGAAGTAACAGCCGCTCCCTTTCTATGATGCCCCGGCCCTCGCTCCTCCTGGTCCCCCCGCCCGCCCCGGCCCTCATCCTAGCCGGGAAAGAGCGCTATCCCCATGCATTTGGCTCAGGAAGGGATCCCCAATCTGTCAGCCTCCCCCCCCGCCTTCCTCTCTCCCCAACAGGCCCCTCTGCTTCCAGGCACTATAAGACCGAGTTCGAGAAGAATAAGATCTGGTACGAGCACCGGCTCATTGATGACATGGTGGCTCAGGTGCTCAAGTCCTCAGGCGGCTTTGTGTGGGCCTGCAAGAACTATGATGGAGACGTGCAGTCGGACATCCTGGCCCAGGGTACGCCGGGAGCACCCCTGCTCCCCGTGGGGATGGGTCCTTCGGCCTCTCTGGCCGAGGTCATGTTTAGATCCTTTGGGTAGATAGAAGTGGTCCCCTATCTATTATACCCAGCAGCACCCGGAGTTGCTGGCTGGTTGCAAGGTCCCCTTTGGACAGCAGGGGGCAGGAGCTCCCTGGGAGCTGAGTGAGGTTACTTAGGCTGCCGTTGAAGAGAAAGGTGACATGGGACTTAGTTTTCTCAGGGGCTAGGCGTGTTGACCCTGAGATTCCTGTCCAGGGAGGGGCCGAGGAACTAGGTTTGGCTCCAATGGAATCAAATGGGATTGAGCAAACTGGGTGCTCTGTAGTATTATTTTTTAAAATATTTTTAAAATATATATATATTTTATTGGTTTTTCACAGAGAGGAAGAGAGAGGGATAGAGAGCTAGAAACATGGATGAGAAACATTGATCAGCTGCCTCCTGCACACCTCCCCACTCGGGATGTGCCCGCAACCAAGGTACATGCCCTTTGACCGGAATCGAACCCGGGACCCTTCAGTCCTCAGGCCAACGCTCTGTCCATTGAGCCAAACCGGTTTGGGCATTTTTAAAAATATTTTTATTGATTTCAGAGAGGGAGGGAGAAGGAGAGAGAGATAGATACATCAGTGATGAGAGAGAATCATGGATCGGCCGCCTCCTGCATGCCCTCTATTGGGGATTGAGCCTGCAACCCAGGCATGTACCTTTGACCGGAATTGAACCCGGGACCTTTCAGTCCACAGGCCGACGCTCTTTCCACTGAGCCACACCGGCTAGGGGCGGGTGCTCTTTAAAATGCACAGAATTTGGTTTGCGCAGTAAACCTTTTATTTGTTTATGTAATCCTCACCCGAGGACATTTTTACATTGATTTTTAGAGAGAGGGAAAGACAGAGAGAAATATGGATGTAAGAGAAACACATAGATTGGTTGCCTCCTGCATGCACCCCGACCAGGGCCTGGGCCAGAGAGAGGAGCCTGCGACCATGGTTATGTGCTCTTGACCGGAATTGAACCCGGGACCCTTTGGTCTGCAGGCCGACGCTCCATCCACTGAGCCACACCGGCTAGGGCGTGCACCATAAGCCTTTCAGACATAGGAGACTATCAGGGAAGATGGGAAAACCCTCAGCCCTACATTCCAGCAGAGAGGGACCATAAGAAACCCCCCAATGGGTTTACAGAGCTTTGGGACCTTCTGCCTTTCCCTCCTCGCAGCCTGGCCTCCGGCTTTAGTTTGCAAACCTCAGTGGTGATCCCCTCCGTAGAACGATTCCCCTCAGGGCTGGGAGGATGAAAAGCCACCGCAGGCGAGAGAAAGGCATGGCAGGGACCGCTAACTAGATAAGGAATTGGTGCGTGGGAAGGTCCAGGTAACCATGGAGAAGGGACCCCCTCCCCCTGGGCCAGCAGCAAAACTCCCCGGACAGAGCATTTCCCCAGAGGACTTTTCCTTCCTTGGGACTGGACAGCTCTTACTTTGGTGCCACGGGGACCTTGGCAACAGAAAAGCTTCCCACGTGCATTTGGGAAGCTTCGGGAACACATTACAGAGCTTGCCTGCCAGGAGCTTTCAGCCGAGAAAGCGGGCGCTGGGAAGTGCTGTCTGCAGGCTTCCTTCCGCTCCAATGGGCCTCTGGGTGCCCAGCTCTGTAGGCTCTTGGGCCCCGGGGGCCACGGGCTGTGGGACACCTGGACGCGGGGCCCCAGTCACAGGTGTTCCGCTTCCAATTCCCTCTTTTGCAAATCAAATCCCGCCTTTTGCAAAGCAAACTAAATATTTGCAGGAGGGGGAGTTGGAGATGGAAAACCTGTTTATGCTAAAGGGCCAGCTCTAAGCCTCCTGAGAGGGCCCCTCTGCCCTGGGCTGGGCCCTGGAGTCCCATGACCTGGGGGGGGGGGGGCGGAAACCGGAAACAGTACCTTGCCCTCTCAGGGTGGGCGGGGTCTTAAGTTGAGTGACAGTCAGAAAGCGGGTGGGCGGAGTCTTAAGTTGAGTGACAGCCAGAAGGCGGGTGGGCGGGGTCTTCGGTTGAGTGACAGCCAGAAGGCAGATGGGCGGGGTCTTAAAGTTGAGTGACAGCCAGAAGGCAGGTGGGCGGGGTCTTAATGTTGAGTGACAGCCAGAAGGCAGGTGGGCGGGGTCTTTAGTTAAGTGATAGCTAGAAGGCAGGTGGGCGGGGTCTTCGGTTGAGTGACAGCCGAAAGGCAGGTGGGCTAGATCCAGGTTACCCCGAGGAGGGGCACCCACACTCAGAGGAGGCCCTTCCCACCCCTCAGGCTTCGGCTCGCTGGGCCTGATGACCTCCGTGCTGGTCTGCCCCGACGGGAAGACCATCGAGGCTGAGGCTGCCCACGGGACAGTCACGCGCCACTATCGGGAGCACCAGAAGGTGAGCGTGGGGAGCGTGGCCATATGGGCTGGGAGTGGGGGGGCCTGGCCCTGTGGGTCTAGGTGTGGGAAGCTGCCTCCAGGTCGCCGCCTTTGTTGGCCTTTCTTATTATTATTGATTATAGTATCACATAATTGTCCTCATCCCCTCCATTCCCATCCCAAACCCCTCCCTACATATGCCCCCGCCCCCCTGTTGTCCATGGCCCCTGGCTAGGCCCATAGGCATGCACACGAGTCCTTTGGTGGATCTCTCCCCCTTACCCCCACCCTCCCTTACCTTCCCTCTGAGGTTTGAGAGTCTGATCGCTGCTTCTCTGTCTCTGGGTCAGTGTTTGTTCATCAGTGTATGTTGTTCATTATTTCCTCTAATTGTGTGAGATCATGTGATCTAAAAAAGACCCTTGTAAGAACCTAAACTGACACAGGCCATATTATGGTTACGCTGAGAGGCAAATGAATCAGTCTGTAGCAAGTTCCTTTCTGGGCCAACAGTTCTTTGGAGTCCCCAATTTCCAATTCAAACAGTTCCTTCTGTGTCCATGTCAGCCGTGCTATTTCAGATCTGGTGGGTGGACACATGGTGCTGATGCAGGTCCGACCGCCTCTGGTTTGGTCCTGGGCATCCCTCAGCGACACGCAGCTGCTGGCATGGCTTTGTTGGCCTTTTGGCTCTTAATTCCCCCCTGTGCCTCCTGCCCCCAGGGCCGGCCTACCAGCACCAACCCCATCGCCAGCATCTTCGCCTGGACGCGAGGCCTGGAGCACCGGGGCAAGCTAGACGGGAACCAGGACCTTATGAGGTGAGCCCAGAACAGTGGTCGGCAAACCGCGGCTCACGAGCCACAGGCGGCTCTCTGGCCCCTGGAGTGTGGCTCTTCCACAAAATACCACAGCCTGGGCGAGTCTATGTGAGAAGTTTGATTGTAAAAAAATGTGGCTCTCCAAAGACATGTCAGTCGTTGTCCTGTGGATGTTTGCCGACCACTGGCCCAGAAGAGGGGCAATGCTGGGCCTGGGGGCAGGGTCCGGGCCGGGGGCTGGCCAGCCAAGGACTCACTTTGCCCCCCCCAACTCGCCCTCTCCCCCACAGGTTTTCCCAGACCCTGGAGAAGGTGTGTGTGCAGACGGTGGAGAGCGGAGCCATGACCAAGGACCTGGCGGGCTGCATCCACGGTCTCAGCAAGTGCGTGGCCCGGGGGGGTGGGGTGGGGTGGGGGAAGGGCAGGGCTGCCCTTCTGGGGCCTGGGGGGGGGGGCCCAGTGGGCAGAAGCTGAGGGACCCTTCTTAGAGACCCCTTACCCCCGTCTTTTTAAAATTTTTATTGATCTCAGAGAGGAAGGGAGAGAGAGAGAGAAAGAGAGAAACATCAATGATGAGAGAGAATCGTGGATGGGCTGCCTCCCGCACGCCCCCTACTGGGGATGGAGCCCGCAACCCGGGCAATGTGCCCTGGACCGGAATCAAACCCGGGACTCTTCAGTTTGCAGGCTGATGTTCTATCCATTGAGCCACACGCCCCCCCCCCCCCCCGTCTCGTCTTCGATCAGCTTTGCCACCAGGAGCCTAGGGCAAGACGGGGCCACGCTTCCCCGACCAGGCCCACTGCGTCGGTCCCCATCCACCCGCTCCGAGACCTGGTACCCAGCAGCCCGTTCACCTGCAAAAGAACAGGCAGACCTTCCCAGGCTCCCGCTGACTTCGCTGGGACCCTGGGCGGTGGGTGGGCAGCGGGGGGGGGGGGGGGGGGGGGACCTGTGCCCTGCAGGTGGCCTGGCCATGCTTCCCCACGGGGGGTGAGGGGGAGGCTGCCATCAAGATGCCCAAGCTGCCGAAGCCGGTGTGGTTCAGTGGATAGAGCGTCGGCCTGTGGACTGAAGGGTCCCGGGTTCGATTCCGGTCAAGGGCATGGACCTTGGTTGCGGGCACATCCCCAGTGGGGGGTGTGCAGGAGGCAGCTGATCCATGATGCTCTCTCATCGATGTTTCTAGCTTTCTATCCCTCTCTCTTCCTCTCTATAAAAACTCAATAAATATATATTTTAAAAAATATCCATGAACTAGCCCTAGCCTGTTTGGCTCAGTGGATAGAGCATCAGCCTGCAGACTGAAGGGTCCCGGGTTCGATTCCGGTCAAGGGCATGGACCTTGGTTGCGGGCACATCCCCAGTGGGGGGCGTGCAGGAGGCAGCTGATCCATGATGCTCTCTCATTGATGTTTCTAGCTCTCTGTCCCCCTCTCTTCCTCTTTGTAAAAAAAAAATCAATAAAATATATTTAAAAAGAAAAAAAAAGCCCAAGCTCGGGCTCTGTCCCTTATGCGAGCGGCCTTCTCTCGTCCTCTTTGGCAGCGTGAAGCTCAACGAACACTTCCTGAACACCTCGGACTTCCTGGACACCATCAAGAACAACCTGGACAAAGCCCTGGGCCAGAAGTAGGGGGGCGGCGAGCGTACCCGGCCACGGCGGCGGCAAGCCCCGGCCCCGGACTCACGGAGGGTGAGCCGCAGCCCCCTCCGGAGGCCTTTCGGGGGGGGACACTTTTTATAAGCGACATGTTTGTCCCGGTCTCCGGCGTTTCCCCTGGCGGTGGGGACGGGAGGCGGGGGCCGTGTGTCTTACCTCAGCCCGTCAGTATGTCCCGCATACTGTCATTTATATCGCCTCGGAACACGTGGTGCCGTTATTTAGCTACTAAAACCTCTTCACAAAGCCGTCTGCTGTGGTTTTATGTTTTTGTTTTTTTTTAAAATATATTTTTATTGATTTTCTACAGAGAGGAAGAGAGAGATAGAGAGTTAGAAACATGGATGAGAGAGAATCATCGATCAGCTGCCTCCTGCACACTCCCTACCGGGGATGTGCCCGCAACCCAGGTACATGCCCTTGACCGGAATCGAACCCGGGACCCTTCAGTCCACAGGCTGACGCTCTATCCACTGAGCCACACCGGTCTCGGCTGTCTGCTGTGTTTGTCCCTCAGGAGGAGGCAGCGGGGGCCCGAGGGGCCATCAGAGGGCGGGGCTCCCCAGGTCTCAGGCCACAGGAGGTCTGTCCTGGGCTCCATCCGGTCTGGGGGTCCCTGTGGGGGGAGGGGACCGAGCAGGATTCTAAAAGGGGCTACCTCAGTAGCTGCTGTGATTCTGGGGTCGCAGGCTTGTGGGGTCCCCTGGAATTCCCTAGCCTGGTTCTTATATCGTTTGTGGGGGGGGGGGTCATCGCTTCTCCATCGATTGGGGTTGTATTTTCCTTTTTCTGTCCAGTGTTCACCTTCTAAACATCTCCAGACCCCCTGCCCTGTTCTTTAAAAAAAAAATATATATATATATATTTTATTGATTTTTTACAGAGAGGAAGAGAGAGGGATAGAGAGAAACGTCCATGAGAGAATCATCAATCAGCTGCCTCTTGTACATCCCCCACTGGGGATGTGCCCGCAACCAAGGTCCATGCCCCTGACCGGAATCGAACCCGGGACCCTTCAGTCCGCAGGCCGACGCTCTATCCACTGAGCCACACCGGTTTCGGCCCCTTGCCCTGTTCTTGGTACTGAAAACAGGCCCTCGCCTTGGCAGCCGACGCTGGTTCTCCACTCACAGCTGCTGGGTGCTGGGTGCTGGGGGTATGAATAGGGCCCCCGTGGGGTCCAGGACACTGAGCCCCGGACCTGAGTTCATCTCCTCAATTCTTTTTCTTTTTCTCTGTGTTACATGTATGTTTCTATTGATTTCAGAAAGAGAGAGGGAGGGAGGGAGAGAGGCATTGGTGATCAGAGAGAATCATGGATCGCCTGCCTCGTGCACGCCCCCTACTGGGGATCGAGCCCACCATCCAAGCGTGTGCCCTGACCTGGAATCCAGCCGTGACCTCCTGGTTCGTGGGTTGATTCTTAACCACGGAGCCACGGCGGCCGGGCCACCTCCTCCCTTCTTTAGCAAAACTACAACAATGAAGTTAGCGCGTTTCTATAGAGCGAAACAGACCCCCTTTCCAGGGCTGTCCTCCTAGCACACTTTTGGGATGAAAACATCCGAGAGGGAAAGCTGTGCCATGTTCACTTGATAAACAAATAGTTGGCAATCCTGAGTCCATTTCCCACGTGTTGGGGGGGACTCTCAGAGTCCCCAACAGTTGGGGAGGACCTTGGTAGCTTTGAGATGGGCTGTAGCCACACACACACACACACACACACACACGCACACACACACGCACACACGCACACACGCACACATGCACACACACACACACACACGAAACCCAACAGCTGGGAACCTTGGTAGCTTTGAGATGGGCTGTAGCCACACACACACACACACACACACACGCACACACACACGCACACACACACACACGCACACACACACACACACACACGAAACCCAACAGCTGGGAACCTTGGTAGCTTTGAGATGGGCTGTATTCACACACACACACACACACACACACACACACACACACACACACACACACTGGCGCCCCCTTCTGTCCCAAGGACCATCTTCCTAGGTCATTGCCATGGGCTCCCAGCGCCGTGGGAAGACAGGCTGGCATGTTCCGGGGGGGAAGCTTGGGGTTTCCGGCCCCGCGTGCCCATCGGCAGCAAAGGGCTGGCAGCCCCCCAGACGCGCAGCCTCGGGAGCCCGGCTTGGCACGGGGAGCTGGCTTCTGTCCTGGGCCCCGCTGGTGGGCGAGGAGGGGAAGCCGCTTCTCTGCAGGCGCTGGGGGTCCTGGGGCCCTGGTCTGCCTCCTCCCGCCTCCCCCTCCCCCGGCTTGGGCTTGGAGCAGCTCCCTGGGGGTGCCTGGCTCTGCCGGGGGTTCACTCTGGTGAGTGCGAAGGATGGTGTGGGACTCCCCCGGTCCCCAGAGAGCGGTCCCCTGCTGGGTAGGGATGCAAAGCTTTTTATAAAATATATTTTATTGATTTTTTTTACAGAGAGGAAGAGAGAGAGGGACAGAGAGTTAGAAACATCGATGAGAGAATCATCGATCAGCTGCCTCCTGCACACCCCCTACTGGGGATGTGCCCGCAACCAAGGTACATGCCCTTGACCGGAATCGAACCTGGGACCCTTCAGTCCGCAGGCCGACGCTCTATCCACTGAGCCAAACCGGTTTCAGCTATATATATATATATATATATATATATATATATATATATATATGTATAAAATATATTTTATATATATATTTTTTAAAAAGCCGGTTTCGCCAGGGCTGCAAAGCTTTTTTTAACAAAAGCTTCAGCCTGCAGACTGAAGGGTCCCGGGTTCGATTCTGGTCAAGGGCATGTACCTTGGTTGCGGGCACATCCCCAGTAGGGGGTGTGCAGGGGGCAGCTGATCGATGATTCTCATCGATGTTTCTAACTCTCTGTCCCACTCTCTTCCTCTCTGTAAAAAAATCAATAAAACATATTTAAAAAAAAAAATAAATGAAAATATATATTTACTGATTTCAGGGAGGAAGGGAAAGGGAGAGATAGAAACATCCATGAGAGAGAACCATGGGTCGGCTGCCTCCTGCACGCCCCCGACTGGGGATCGGGCCCACAACCACGGGCATGTGCCCTGACCGGGAATCGAACCTTGACCTTCTGGTCTATAGGTCGAGGCTTAACCACTGAGCCACACCAGCTGGGCATGCTGCAAAGCTCAGTTAGGAGTTCCTTGGGGGGGGGTGGGGGGAGGACCAGGTCCCCGAGAACCACGGGGAAGGAGCACCCGCAGCCGCCTCGCTAAAGAATATCCATTTATTTATAATTATTGCTAAGTAAACTTCTCTCTGGAACGGGAACATAAAAACACAGTAGGGCTCTGCACGAGTGGGATCTCTTAAACAGTCCGTGTGTGGTGTACACGTCAAAATAAGTTAGAATGGGATGCATCCAGGGTCTCCCCGTCCCCCGAGAGGCCTCGCTCACACCTCCTTGGCAAAGGTTGGGGGCGAGAGGGGTGAGGACAGGAGCCTTGCCAGACCACCCCCTCCTCCCGCCCCCCACCCCCCAACCCCAGCTCAGACGGCGAGTTGTGCTGTACCCCCTTCTGTTAGTTTTGCCCGGGTCCGAGGCACGGGGGGCCGGGCGTTCAAGTATCGCTCTCGCAGAGGGCGGGAAGGACAGCCCCACCCGGGCCTGGCCCTTCTCCCTTGGGTTTCCAAGGCCACTGCGCTGGCGGAGGGAGGGAGGAGGAGGAGGGAGAAGGGAGGGAGGAGGAGGAGGAAGAAGAGGAGGGAGGAAGGAGAGATGAGAGTGAGGGAGAGAGGAGGAGGGGGAAGAGGAGGAGGGAGGGAGGAGGGGAGGAAGAGGAGGAGGAGGAAGGAGAAAGGAGAGATGAGGAGGAAGAGGGAGAGAGGAGGGAAAGGAGGAGGGAGAGAGGAGGGGGAGGAGGAGAGAGGGAAGAAGAAAAGGGAGGGAGGAGGAAGGAAAGATGAGGAGGGAGAAGAGGGAGGAGGAAGGAGAGGAGGAGGAAGAGGGAGAGGAGGTAAAGGAGGGGGAGGAGTAGGAGGGAGGGAGGGAGGGAGAAAAGAGGGAGAGAGGAGGATGAGTGGGAGGAGGAGGAGGAGGAGAGGTACAGGGTTCTTTTTGGTACCAGGGGAGAAAGACATCGTGGGAAGAGGTAGTTTTCAGGGACGATGCGTCTCAGCAGGAGAAAACGTCTCTACAGTGATGGGGTCACTGCCACCTGAGTGTCATCGTGGCGGGCACCGGGGGCCGGGGGGGGCTGGAGAGCTAGGCTTGGGGAGGGGCCCCCGTGGCCCCCAATGTCTCGTCTGTTGCTTAGCATGAGCTGCAGCAGAGGAGGAGGGGCCCCGGGCGGCCTGACCCCGAGGCCCCCCCACCTGGGCACAGGGGCTGCATTGCAAAGCGGTCCCCCAGCCCCAGCTGTCCCCCCACCTGGTTCCTGGGCTGACGTTGGTGGCTTCACCTCCTCTGGGCCTTCGGGGACAGCCCTGCCCGGCCCTCCCCACAGAGGGCAGGGGTCTGGGTGCCCCGGTTCCTGAATGTGCCACTGCCCTGCCTGGGGCCTGCCGCCTTCAGTTCCAGGGGCAGCAGCCGGCGGGGGACAGGGCCCGGGAGGGAGCCGGCTGCTGACCAAGCTCCGGCCCCTGTGGGCGATACAGAGCGAGTCACTGGCGAGGGGCTGGGTGGGGGTGGAGGGCCTGCCCGCCCCCGCCCCCCCGTGCCTCCTCCTGCCTCCCACCTGCCCCCTGAGCCTCCCTGCCAGCAGCTGGGCCCCCAGGGCCGGAGCGCAGCCCCCCGAGTTCTGCCAGGCCAGGCGGCTCTACGGATGGGGGCACAGAGCCCACGCAGCACGCAAGAAAGCTCCCGTTGGGGGAAAAAAAAAAAAAAACGGCCTCCATCAAAAAGGTTATAAACGTAAAATCAATTACCTCCCAAAGTCCCCCATTCGCTCAAAAAAAAAAAAAATCTCCTTTCTCTCTATGGTCTTCATTTTCCTTTTTAAGTGTGGCTGCTGTGGGGGGGCTGTCCGGACCTCAGCAGGGACACGGTGACCCCTTAAATGCTCCGGCCCCAGCCCAGGCAGCTCCTGTGGGGTCTCAGGGACCCTTCACGGTGCCCGGCTCAGCTCACATTGGGGACCCCGATCGGGGACGCCGTGTGGAGCCCCGGCTAAGACAGAACTGGGGGACTCCAGCCACCTCCGGGCGGTAAGAGGGGGGCTTGCGGGGGGCGGGCTGGAGAAGGCGTTCGCTTGGGGGGGGGGTGAGCTGCACCCTGCTGTCCCGCCGGCCAGGATGGGGCCGCACGTGCCCCTGGCTCCAGGGGGAGCAGGGGAGGCACCGGGAGGTAGAAGGCGGGGCCCTGTCTGGCTGTTGGGGGGAGCAGGGGCGGAAGACCGCTCTGGGCCTGGGCTGGTCCCAGCCCCGGGGGCTCATGGGTAAGGGGTGGGGCAGTGCTGGCCAGCCGGGAGCCCCAACGTCCCTAAGAAGCAGGCAGGGAGGGGAGTAAGCCTCCACGATCCTTTTTTTCCAGTGTCGGGACCCCCTGAGGAGCCATCGGCTTGGCCCTGCGGGACACTGCGGGCCTGGGGACGCCTGAGAGCCTGTGCCCTGGTGGCCTGTCCCTGTCCCCGACCCTCCCAGGGCAGCAGGCAGGCCCAGGAGCCGCAGACCAGGGTCCCCGTCACCCTCCCTTCCCCGCAGGGGCCCGGTGCCCGGTTCCCAGCCGAGGCCAGTGGTTCAGTCCATTTGGTCTGCGAGTCCCTATTGGTGCCAGGGAGAGAGGGCTCCCTGGATGGCGGGGCCAGGGGTAGCCCGATGCCCCGCAGCCCGGGGGTCTCACCCCCACGCCCAGGCCCCCCTCACCCGGTTCCGGGGGGGCCGCTATAGCACGTTGTAGTAGGCCATCTCCTTCATGGCCTGCTCGGTGAGCACGCTGGCCTCGGCGCCGCCGTCCACGCCCCCGTACGTGTAGGCGCTCTCCTCAAAGTCCTCCATCTCCCGCTGGCCGTCCAGCTCCGAGGGGTCGGCGCCCGCCAGCTCCATCATGGGGTCTGCAAGACAGGGGCACAGTTAGCCCCCGATGCCGCCCGCCTCTGCCCGGGAGGGGCCCGCGGCCCACAGAGGGAGCGCCACGGGGTCGGCAAACGCTTTTCAGGGGTCGGCAAACTCCTTCGACCACAGAGCCGAACTCCTCCACAGGACAGCGCCTGACACGTCTTTGAAGAGCCACGTGTTTTAGATTTAAAAGCTTCTTCCGACGCCACTCCTTCAACATAGACTAGCCCAGCCGAAGCCGGTGTGGCTCAGTGGATAGAGCGTCGGCCTGCGGACTGAAAGGTCCCGGGTTCGATTCCGGTGAAGGGCGTGTACCTTGGTTGCGGGCACATCCCCCGTCGGGGGTGTGCAGGAGGCAGCTGATCGATGATTCTCTCTTCATCGATGTTTCTAACTCTCTAGCCCTCACCCTTCCTCTCTGTAACAAAAATCAATAAAATAAAATTTTTTTAAAAAATAATAAAAAAATAAAATTTTAACTAAAAAAAAAAAAAAGACTTAAACTTTTTTTTTTTTTAACACCACTTCTTCAAAATAGACTGGCCCAGGCCCTGGTATCCTGTGGAAAAGCCACACTCCGGGGGGGAGGGGCAAAGAGCCGCATGTGGCTCGCGAGCCGCAGTTTGCCGACCACGGGCGTCTCTAAAGGAAGAACTTCCAGGCGGTGTTCCCACAGGATTTGTGGCTGCCCCAGCCTTGCCTCTGGAGGAGGCCCCTGGTGCTGGTGGCTACTCTGATGGATCATCAGATCGGAGCGTGTGTGTGTGTGGGTGTGGGTGTGTGTGTGTGTGTGTGTGTGTGTGCGGGTGTTGGGGGGGACGGACAGGCCTGGCCTTGGCCTCTTGGTCCTGCCTCTCCCGTCTCTCCTAAGCCACTAAGCTTATTTCCTTTCTGCCATGTTTCCCATCCTTTGGTCCCCTTGGCTGCCATGTCCCGTCTCAGCATCACCACTCGCTTCACTGCACACACATCGGAGCGTGAGTGCTCACAGCGACCCCAGTGAGGAGGCCAAAGGGCAGGTCAGAGGGGTGCACCAGCTTTTAAGGGGACCCAGCAAGGCTGCTGATTTCACCCACTGGGACCCCATTTCCTCTGACTTCCTGTAGCGTGGGTGCTTCTTTTTATTTTTAATTATTTTTAATTTTATTGATTTGAGAGGGAGAGAAACACCGACGTGCTGCTTCCACGTATTCAGGGGTTACTTCTTACATGTGCCCTGACTGTGGGGTTTGAACCTGCCACCTTGGGGTCGGGGAGGATGTTCTCGCCAGCTGAGCTGCCCAGGCCAGGGGGCCAGTGTGTGTGCCCGAAGCCAGCTCTACCCAGTGGTTTCCCCGGGCCAAGCACACATCCAGGTGAGGTTAACCCGGAGGAGGAGGCAGGAACGCTAAGAGGCCTCCTGTCATTGTATCCAGCTGAGATCTCATTCTAACGCTCTTCCTGTCGGAACAAGAACCAGACACGCCGAAACCGGTGTGGCTCAGTGGATAGAGCGTCGGCCTGCGGACTGAAAGGCCCCAGGTTCCATTCCGGTCAGGGGCATGGACCTTAGTTGCGGGCACATCTCCGGTAGGGGGTGTGCATGAGGCAGCTGATTGATGTTTCTCACTCATCGATGTTTCTAACTCTCTATCCCTCTCCCTTCTCTGTGAAAAATCAATAAAATATATATATATAAAAAAAAAAAGGAGTCATGGAGGTGTGGGGGGGGGGCGCGGAGAGAAAGAAGGAAGCCCGGGGTATGATCTGGGGACCCTGGAAGGGTGGCCTCCAGGGCTGGGGCTAAGCCTCAGTGTGCATTCTGCCCCTGCCCACCTCGGACATAGAAGTGTTTGGGGAGACGTGGATCCCAGATCGGGGTGCCCTGATAAGTCTAAGGCGGGCTTTCAACCCCAGCCCCACCAACATTCGGGGCCATAACTGATTGTTGGGGGGCCCGTCCTGTGCACTGTAGGATGTTCAGCGGCAGCTCTGGCCTCCGTCAGCCCCATGCCAGAAGCATCACCCCAGTTGTGACAACCAAACCCGGGCCAGACATTATAACTCCCCACTCTGTTGAGAACCTCAGGTCTAAGGGCAAACTCCACCCACCCGTTCCCCAAGAAGTGGCTCAGGACGCCCTCTCCCGCTGGGAGGGAACAAGGAAGCACACTTCCCGGGAGGACCATCACCCTTTTCGCCTTGGCTGCTGGGAAGCTCAGAGCTCCCTTCTGCATGCCCGCCAGGCTTCCCATGGTGCACCTGGCTGTCCCTTCTCTCTCCAGCTGCCACTTTCCCATGTGAGAATCCCTTCCCCGCCCCTTTATTTTCCGTCATCTCTCAGTCATGAGATAAAGTATCGTTCCTGCCAAAACCGGCGTGGCTCAGTGGATAGAGCAGTCGGCCTGCGGACTGAAAGGTCCCGGGTTCGATTCCCGCCAAGGGCCTGTACCTTGGTTGCGGACACATCCCCAGTAGGGGTGGTGCAAGAGGCAGCTGATCAATGATTCTCTCTCATCGATCTTTCTAACTCTCTATCCCTCTCTCTTCCTCTCTGTGAAAAATTAATAAAATATATATATTTTTAAATAAATAAATGAAATAAATAAGTAAATAAATAAAGTATCGTTCCTGCGCGGGGTGACCTGACACGAGTTACCTAACGCCTCTGTCCTCGAGTTCCCACATCGATAACACGGCGCTGGCCACAGAGCCGAACTCGCCTTCGGGGTCACGTGCGTTAATAAAGGCCTGGCACACAGGTAGCACTCAGTCAACGGCGTTCTCTTTATTATATCGTTGGTTTTTTTTGTTTTTTTTTTTTACGTGAGCCCGCTCAGGTCCTTGGAAGCATACATGAACATCGCGTCGCCGCCACGCGGGCCCTCCGAGGGGCCCCCTCTCCAGACCTGGGCCCATCCCAGCGAGGTCTCAGGCCTGGCCAGCCTCCCCCCGCCGCCTCCCCTCACGGGACAGGGGGCTCCAGCGTGTGCCGGGAGGGGACCGCTCCTGGCCCGTCCGCTGCGCGTGGCCCACCCACCTTGGCTGTCCAGGCCGATGTCCATGACGCCGTGCTTGACCTTCATGTGCCGGCTCAGGTTGCCCTTGAGGTTGAACTTGCTGGAGCAGTAGGGGCACTTGAAGGGCTTGCTGCCCGCGTGCAGGTGCATGTGGCCCAGCAGGTTGTACATGCGGTTGAAGGACTTCCCGCACACCTGGAACACAGCAGGGGGCGCTGTCAGCCCACGGGGGATCCGCCCTCCAGAAGCCACGCCCCACCCCAGGAGCCCCGCCCCATCTCTCCAGAAGCCACGCCCGCCCTCCAGAAGCCACGCCCCTTCATCCAGAGGCCACGCCCCACCTCCAGAGGCCATGCCCATTTCCTACAGGAGCCACACCCATCTATCCAGAAGCCCCGCCCATGCCAGAAGCCACGCCCCCATCCTCCAGAAGCCACGCCCCTCCCACCTCTGTGGCCAGGCTGCAGTCCCACCCACTGCGGCCAGCCCTGGTTTTTCGTTCTTTCCTATGTGACCTCAGAGGCCTGAGAGACAGAGACCTAAGCCTCCTCGCACCTCACTGTTCCTGAGCTGGGACAATGGTGTGGCTCAGTGGATAGTGTTCGAACTGCGGACTGAAAGGTCCCAGGTTCGATTCCCGTCAAGGGCATGTACCTTGATTGCGGGCACATGTACCCGGAAGGGGGTGTGCAAGAGGCAGCTGGTCGACGTTTCTCTCTCATCGATGTTTCTAGCTCTCTATCCCTCTCCCTTCCTCTCTGTGAAAAATCAATATATTTTAAAAAATTAAAATGTATTAAAAAAAAAGAAAAAGACAATTTCTCTTAACATCGAAACTTCGGATCTCCTACTGCACCAAATCCCCGGCCTGGGCTCTCTCCCTGTGGCTGCACCTTGACTTTCACACACACACCCCCTCCCCAACTCTCATAAAACATAACTTCAGCAGCTCGTAAGATCTGAACCGCACCCCCCCCCCCCCATTCCATCTCCCGGAAGCCCGGACAGCTGCACTCAACCAGCGCCAACTGTATGCATTGCATACAGATGTGCCCGCCAGTCCTGCTGATTCGGGGCGGCCCAGAGGACAGGCCCGGCCCCGGGGCCCGCTGGCCGGGTACCTTGCACTTGAACGGCTTCACGGGCGAGTGTACAATCATGTGGGTCTTGAGGGTCTGCTTCTGCACGAAGGTCTTGAAGCAGATGTGGCACTGGTAGGGCCGGACGCTCGTGTGGATCAGCATGTGCCGCTTCATGTTCGCCTGCAGCGTGAACTCCCGGCCGCACACCTCGCACTTGAACTCCTTCACGCCCTGGGGGGTGGGGGAGGGGCAGTGGTCAGGGCCACAGGATGGGCACAGCCTCTGTGTGGACTACAGAGGGTCGGAGTGCCTGTCTGTACCGCTTCTGGGAAATGACTCCCTGGGGGATGTTCCAAACAGGCACTGCTTGTTTAGGATGCCGGGCAGGGCCGCTGCCTCCAGGAAGCCCTGCAGGGTTAACTGGGCAGAGACGGGCTGGGCCGTATTATTATTTATTAGTCCTCACCCGAGAATTTTTTTAAACATCTTTTTATTGATTTCAGAATATATTTTTATTGATTTCAGAGAAGGAGGGAGGGGGAGCTAGAGAGAAACATCAGTGATGAGAGAGAATCATGGATCGGCTGCCTTCCGCACGCCCCACACTGGGGATCCAGCCCGAAACCTCTCCGAAGAAATCAATAAAAATAAATACGTAAGAACTTCATCTGTGCCGAAACCGGTTCGGCTCAGCGGATAGAGCGTCGGCCTGCGGTCTGAAAGGTCCCGGGTTCGATTCCGGTCAAGGGCATGGACCTTGGTTGTGGGCACATCCCCAGTAGGCGGTGTGCAAGAGGCAGCTGATCGATGATTTTCTTTCATCGATGTTTCTAACTCTCTATCCCTCTCTCTTCCTCTCTGTAGAAAATCAATAAAATACATTTTAAAAAAAATAAATAGCCGAAACCGGTTTGGCTCAATGGATAGAGCGTCGGCTTGGGGACTGAAGGGTCCCGGGTTCGATTCCGGTGAAGGGCATGTACTTGGTTGTGAGCACATCCCCAGTAGGCGTGCAAGAGGCAGCTGATGATTCTCTCTCATCGATGTTTCTAACTCTCTTCCTCTCTGTAGAAAATCAATAAGATATATTTTTTTAAAAAATAAATAAATAAGAACTGTTCCTCTATGAACGACCTTCGGGAAGCCCTGGGTTGTAGGACCGGCGAGGGCGGAGCCAGGGGGAGGCGGAGGGAGACCCGGGAGGCGGAGGGAGACCCGGGAGGCGCGAGGACGGCGCACGTACCTTGTGCGTGAGCGAGTGCTGCTTGAGGTGGTGCACCTGGCTGAACTCCATGCCGCACTCGGTGCACACGAAGGGCCGCACGTTCTGGTGCTTGAGCATGTGGTTGTGCAGCTGGCTGCGGTAGTGGAAGGCCCTGTCGCACTCGAGGCACTGGTAGAGGGTGGGGCCCTGGTGGGAGGCCAGGTGGCGCTTGAGCTGCGCCAGCGTGGAGAAGTCCAGGCCGCACTCCACGCACACGTGGCAGCGGCCGCTCTCGTGCTTGCCCTCGTGGGCCCGGAGCTCGCTGGGGTAGGCGAAGCCGCGGCCGCAGAAGCGGCAGCTGTAGGGCTTCACCTCGGAGTGCAGCAGCATGTGGCGCTTGAGGTGGCTGGTCTGCGTGAAGGCCTTGTGGCACACCTGGCACTTGTGGGGCCGCGTGCCCTGGTGCGTGAGCAGGTGCGTCTGCAGGTGGCTGGGCTGCTTGAAGAGCTTGCCGCAGTGCGGGCACGCGTGCGGCTTGATGCCGTTGTGGCCCAGGATGTGCGTGACCAGGTTGTACTTGGACGTGTACGACTTGTCGCACATGCGGCACTGCCAGCGCTTCTGCCGGTCGCCCGCCTCCACCAGGTACGAGTCGTCGATCTGCACGTTGATGTCCAGCCGGTCGAGCTGGGCCTTCTTGTGCCGATCGGCGGTCGAGCCGGCGGCTGCCTCCAGCTCTCCGGCCTCCTGCCACACGAAGCCCCCCTCCTCGGGCTTCAGGGGCTCCGGGGTCCCCACGGTGGCGGCGGAGGCGGGGGGCGCCTCGGGGTCGCCCAGCGGGGCCAGGTGCGGCGGAGGCGGCGGCGGCTCAAAGCCACACTCGGAGGTCAAGGTCAAGGGCAAGGCGTCGGGCTCCGGATAGACGACATCCCGGGCGGGATCGGGGAAGTGGGGGGCGTAGGGGGCCAGGTCCAGCTCTGGCCGCGGGGCTGGGGCGCGGGGCAGGGGCCGCAGCGGCCGGGGCTTGCGGCTGAAGGCGCTCAGGTCGATCATCTTGACCGCGCTGCTCTGCACCAGGGCCTCGCAGCCGCCGGCCACGTCACTGGGGACCTCAGCGGGGCCTGCATCCTTGTCATTGCAGCCGCCGGACACAGACACCTCGTAGACTTCCTCCTCCTCCTCCTCCTCCTCCTCCTCCACCTTCTCAAACTTGACCTTGGGCACCAGGCGCACCGGTGGCCGTGTCTTCCGCCGCGTGTGCTTCTCAAAGGCCGCCTCCACCTCCAGCACCTCCTCCTCCGCCGCCGGCTCGTCCAGGCCGCGTCCGTGGCAGGCGAGCTGGTAGACATCGGGGTCCGGGGGGCCCGGCTCCCCCAGGGAAGAGGCCGCGGATGCGGCCGCCGATGACAGCTCCGGGGGGCCCAGGTCCGGGTAGAAGGCGTCGGCGCTGATGGTGGCGCCAAAGAGCTCGTTCTCGGAGACCAGGCCCAGCACGGCGGCCTGCGCCAGGGACAGCACCACCACCGCGTCCGTCTGGGTCCCCGAGTCCATGAAGCCCTCCATGCCTGGGCGGGGCTAGGAGGGCATCGCTGTGGGGGCGAGGGGAGGGAAAAAGGGGGGCGTTAGTGCTGCAGGCTCACTGGACAGACAGACAGACAGACAGGGACGGGGTAACTCGGGGTGCGTCCGCCTCTGACCTCTTTATTTTTATTTTTAATTTTTTTAAATTTTATTGATTATGGCCGAAACCGGTGTGGCTCAGTGGATAGAACGTCGGTCTGCGGACTGAAAGGTCCCGGGTTCGATTCCCGTTCAAGGGCATGTACATTGGTTGCGGGCACATCCCCTGGAGGGGGTGTGCAGGAGGCAGCTGGTCGATGTTTCTTTCTCTTTTCGACGTTTCTAGCTCTCTATCCCTCTTCCTTCCTCTCGGTGGAAAATCAATAAAATATATATTTTTAAAAATAATTTTATTGATTATGGTTTCACATAATTGTCCTCATCCCCCCCATTCCCATCCCAAACCCCTCATCACGCATGCCCCCACCCCCCTGTTGCCCGTGGCCACTGGCTAGACCCATAGGCATGCGCACAAGTCCTTTGGTTGATCTCTCCCCCTTGTCCCCACCTTCCCCTACTCTGATCTCTTTTTACTCCTGCCTTGGGACAGGACAGTATCCGCCCATCTCCACCTCCCCACCGTGGGGTTCTGGGTAAGTCCAGCCCCCTGGCTGGCCTCAGTCTCCCCATCTGTGAAATAGGCAGGCTGGGTGTCCCCAGCGATTTTCCAAAAAAAACGATGCTTTGCAGGCCCTGCAGGAAGCACGCTCAAAACTCACAGAAACTAGAGATTCTTCTGTTTTTCAATATTTTTAAAATATATTTTATTGATTTTTTACAGAGAGAGTTAAAACATCGATGAGAGAGAATCATCCATCAGCTGCCTCTTGCACACCCCCTACCGGGGATGTGCACGCAACCAAGGTACATGCCCTTGACCCGGGAATCGAACCCGGGACCTTTTAGACCGCAGGCCGACGCTCTATCCAACTGAGCCAAACCGGTTTTGGCTTTTCTGCTTTTTAAAAGCCGGTTTTAGAAAAAAAACAAACAAAAAAACCTATAGACTCAATGGTACACACAGTAGCACACCCCACTCGGCGGCCCCACCAGCTCTGTTGCCAAGGTGATTCGTTTTGCACGGACCTTGGGACCACGGTGAGGCGTATAAACCACTGTCCCCATCTGCAACGGCCTGTCCATATACATGAGGTGTTTCAGTTTGGCAGGGAATATATATTCAGGGCAAAAACAAGGCAACACACACACACACACACAAATAAATGAGGTGCCAAGACCAACTGCAGGCAACGGCCCTTCCCACCAGCCACCCCTCAGGCTCCATACGCGTCCCTCCCAGGAGTAGCTAAACATTACATGTTTAAATATCTACATGCAGCCGAAACCGGTTTGGCTCAGTGGATACAGCGTTGGCCTGCGGACTGAAAGGTCCCGGGTTTTTTTGTTGTTGTTTGTTTGTTTTTAAATATATTTTATTGATTTTTTACAGAGAGGAAGGGAGAGAGATAGAGAGCTAGAAATGTCAATGAGAGAGAAACATCGACCAGCCGCCTCCTGCACACCCCCTCCAGGGGATGTGCCCGCAACCAATGTACATGCCCTTGATGGGAATCGAACCTGGGACCTTTCAGTCCGCAGGCCGACGCTCTATCCACTGAGCCACACTGGCTTCGGCAAGGTCCCGGTTTTGATTCTGGTCAAGGGCATGTGCGTTGGTTGTGGGCACATCCCCAGTGGGAAGGGTGCAGGAGACAGCTGATCAGTTTCTCTCTCATCCATGTTTTTAATTCTCTACCCCTCTCTCCTCCTCTCTGTAAAAAAATCAATAAAATATATTTAAATATCTACATGCACACTGATAAAAATGATCGCTTTTTTTTTCCTTTCTGATTTGCACACTGGGATTCCACGCAAGATCCGAGTTGAAAGAAGCCCTCAGCAGAGGCTGAGCTACAAGCCTGTGAAGGGTTGTAACTCAGGGGAAGGGGCTTGGCTACCCTTCAAAGACCCTCCGGGGGATATAGAGAATCCCTCCGAAAGGGACGGCCCTGGCCCCCAGCATCACAGACACACTTACCCAGCTAACAGGTTCTTTAAAAAAAAAAAAATCAATGGGGCCCCGGCCAGTATTGCTCAGTGGATAGTGCGTGGGCCAGCGGACTCAAGGGTCCCAGGTTTGATTCCGGTCAAGGGCATGTATGTGCCTTGGTTGCGGGCACATCCCCAGTGGGGGGCGTGCAGGAGGCAGCTGGTCGGTGTTTCTCAATCTTATCGATGTTTCTAACTCTCTCCCTCTCCCTTCCTCTCTTTAAAAAAATCAATAAAATACTTTAAAAAAAAAATCAATGTGGCCATAGATGGTGTGGCTCAGTGGATAGAGCATCGGCCTGTGGACTGAAGGGTCCCGGGTTAGATCCCGGTCAAGGGCACATGCCCAAGGTTGTGAGCTTGATCCCCAGTAGGGGGCATGCAGGAGGCAGCCGATCCAGGATTCTCTCTCATCATTGATGTTTCTCTCTCTCTCTCCCTCTCCCTTCCTGTCTGCAATCAATAAAAATATAGCAAAAAAAAAAAAGAAAAAAAAAAAAGCCATATGTGCCCACCCAACCCCAGGTGCATGGCGTCCTTCCTTCCCATAGGCCCCACCCTTTGTTTTTGTTTGTTTTTTAAAAAATATATTTTACTGATTTTTTTACAGAGAGGAAGGGAGAGGAATAGAGAGCTAGAAACATCGATAAGAGAGAAACATCGACCAGCTGCCTCCTGCACACCCCCCACCGGGGAGGTGCCTGCAACCAAGGCACATGTCCCTGACCAGAATCGAACCTGGGACCCCTCAGTCCGCAGACCGACGCTCTATCCACTGAGCCACACCCGTTTCGGCGGGCCCCACCCTCTGCATGTGGTCGGGGGGCCTCCCCCTTCTTGGTGCCTTTCTCCCCAACCTGCTGAGCCCCTGGCCCCTCCTCCCAGCCTCCCAGGATTCTTTCCAATCCCACCTGCTCCTGGGTTTCCCTGCCCTCCCCGCCAGGCCAGTGCCCTCTGCCAGCCTCTCCAGTGGCGGGCCCGCAGTGCCCAGATGGGGGAGGGCCTCCTTGGAGCCCTGAACTTGATCCTCATGAATTAACCCCCCACAGCCTGGCACAGGGGAGGCAGGCCATAGGACGGAGAGAGACGATCTCGGGGCGGCTGGTGCCCGCCTCGCCCGCTCCCCGCCCAGGGCCACAGTCATTGGGTTGGCACCGGGCCCATCAGAGGCCCTTCCTCAGGAAACCGACTCTGGCCGGGTGTCTCCCTTCCCCACACAGGCCAGCCGAGCCTCCCCTTCCTGAATTCAGCGGCTAAAAATAAAACACCCCAGACAGGAACAAGCCTCCTTGAAATGGACACTACAGACGAGCCTATTAGGGGTGAAGTGGGCTCTCTTGTGGAAGGGGGGGCCCGAGGGGGCAAAGCTCAGGCTCGGGGTGCAGGGTGCGCTCCCCAGCCCCCGTTGGAAAGTCGGGGAGCGTGGCCTCAAGTCTAAGCTGCCACTTACAAGTGCCTGAGCAATGTCGTTTCAAAGTCACGTCCGTGCCTCAGTCTCCCCATTTAAAGATGGGGATGAAAATCCTACCCAGGCTGAAACCGGTGTGGCTCAGTGGATAGAGCGTTGGTCTGCGGGCTGAAGGGTCCCGGGTTCGATTCCGGTCAAGGGCATGGACCGTGGTTGTGGGCACATCCCCAGTAGGGGGTGTGCAAGAGGCAGCTGATTGATGTTTCTCTCTCATTGATGTTTCTAACTCTCTATCCCTCTCTCTTCCTCTGTAAAAAATCAACAAAATATATATTTAAAAAAAAAAAAAAAAAAAAAAGAGGAGAGAGAGAGAGAAGAGAGAGAGAGAGAGAGAGAGAGAGAGAGAGAGAGAGAGAGAGAGAGAAGAAAATCCTACCCAGGAAGGGCTGTCCTCAGTTCTTGGCAAAGCCCTAAGCGTTTATAAAGAATCCCTCTTGCCTGGCCTGTATGGCTCAGTGGTTGAGCATCCACCTATGAACCAGGAGGTTCGATTCCTGGTCAGGGCACATGCCCGGGTTGCGGGCTCCATCCCCCATAGGGGGCGTGCAGGAGGCAGCCGATCAATGATTCTCTCTCATCATTGATGCTTCTCTCTCTCTCTCTCTCTCTCATTCTCCCTCTCCGAAACCAATAAAAACATTTAAGAAAAACTAACAACTATCACTCTTACTGTCTGCCTTTTGATGGAGCCTTTACTTTTTTTTCTTTTTTATCAGTCCTCACCTGAGGCTATTTTTCCATTGATTTTTAGGGAGACTGAGAGAGAGAGAGACAGAGAGAAAGATCGATGTGAGAGAAAGACATTGATTGGTTGCCTCGTACACAAGCCCCAACCAGGGCCCAGACCAGGGAGGAGCCTGCAACCAAGGTACATGCCCTTGACCGGAATCAAACCCGGGACCCTTTGGTCCGCAGGCCGACGCTCTATCCACTGAGCCACACCGGCCAGGGCTGGAAGGAGCCTTTTCTGATGAAGACGACAGAGCTAAGAAGACCACTTCTCTACTCTGGAGCCCCGAGTCCAGCAGAGGTTTGGGGGACTCTTCAGACAACCCCCAGAACAGAGAATCCACTCGTCCATTCGTGCAACAAATTCTATTTGCTAAGTCCCTACTCCTGGAGCTGCAGGCGGTGAGGCCGGGGAGGGAGAGAGGGAAGGGGGTGTCCTGCCCGAGTCCACAGGGGAGACCTCTGTGCCACCGCAGCCCCTCTGACCCAGCCCCAGCTGCACCCAGACGGCACCCAGCTGCCCAAGCCTTCGTGTCTGCTGTGGGTCTGGACAGACCAGAGCTCAGCATTTTTTCTAGACTTCCCCAACGGCAAGGCCAGAAGGAGGGGACGAGGGGAGGGGGGCGGGAAGGGAGGAACTGACCCTCCACAGCAGATCCCCTGCTGCGGACTCGGCCCTGAGATCTGAGTTCGAATC